CGGCTGCGGCCGAGTTTAGTGTTCTCGCCAATATTGTAACAGGTTCATCTAGCGACAAGCGCGAGGTGCCATCTACACAACCCCCAGAACGCGAACACGTCGGCTCCGACCATCCAACACCAAGCCGAGCTCGCCTAAGAAGCCACTACAGTCTTTGCGAGCTCGCCTCTCCATGAGTGCGGCTTCTGGCAAGCCGGCGAAACCAGAGACACCGTCTCGCCGAGCCACCATCACCAATGCCAGTCCGCTGCTGCCACAGCAACAGGTCGGATCGCCAAATCAGATACACCACTCTAGCCAGTCGCCGGCACCGAATTCTAATCACTTTGCATCGGACAAGCACCGATCGGCGGATGTCCCGACGGACCACAACCTGGATTATTATTCCCTCGGACCGGACAACATCCGGGCGATGTCCTGCTCTGATCTTCCCAAGACGTCCATGTCGACCGCCGACTGGGAGTTCATTCTCAGCGATATGGACCGGGGTCATTCGAATATCTTCAATGGCATCTATGGCGGGCAAGAGTGCATCGAGGACCGGGGTCCTTTTGCGTCGCTCGTTGATTTCCAGCACCAGCACCAGCAGGCGTCTGCCCAGCGGCAAAGCTCTCAGGAGCTCTCCCCGGAAGCGTGGTCTGCCAGCAGCGGGGACCTGCCCAACGGTAACACGACCGCACCACAGAGTGTGCTCAGCTATTCCGAGGAGAGTCTGGGCAGCGCGGATGATGTTCCTGTGCCGCCTGAGGTCAACATACAGCCTCCGAATGGGCTTGACATGGTCGATCCGCTCAAGGGGATCATGATCCCGGCGGCGGATGAAGAGTTCAATGATATGGGCCTGTTTGAGGGGTGGGATCACCGACTGGTTACTTGATGGATGTATTGAATACGATTTATGATGGAGTTGGGGGCGGTTCCTCTGATTTTTTTTTTTGGCAGTGTACGGGCTCGTCTACATGATACCTCTTTTGTCCGTGAGTACTGCGTTTTGTCGAGCCGTGTTTGACGGGTTGTCAGTTATGTTTTTTTATGTTTCTATGTTTCTGTTCAGGCGTTCTGTGTACCTGTATATTTTGGGAATAGCTGTGGTGGACCCGCGGCGAGGGAGGGGCGTATTCCGTATATATATATAGTTCGTGTCGGTTTGCCGAATTCTGTTCACCGTAATTCAAGCTTAGTTGTTTATACCCTTTGCCTTTTGCAGCAAGCCGGGATTTTAATCTGCCGAGCAGGTCGAAGAGTCTGCGATTTAGCTGTAAGGCAAGCTGCAAGCATTGCTCCGCTGAGCGGGTGTAAAAATAGTTAGACCACCTCTATACCACCACTGGGGAAAGTCTTTCTTCTAGACCAGAGTAGGACAGTCGAGTAGATGCTCTGGTAGCTATCTACCTCATCATCCTCATGATCTCATCTGTATAAATATCAATTACCTTAGGGACCGGAAAGACCAGTCCAGAATCGATCACCTGACCGATCTATCGGAGCAACCCCGATGGGTAATCCGAGACCGGTGGAATTGAAAAGGCATTTGTCATAGAACATCGCAGAACTAAACACGATGGAAATAATGTCTTTCACTGAAAAAAAAAGAAGAGAGAGAGAGGGAAAAAAAGAAGTTTGGCCCCTTTCTTGCGTACCCCGGTAGATATGTTGTACAATACTGTAAGCCACGACGTTCTCGAACGGCTAAATTGCGGATATAGCTAGCGGTCGGAGCGGCTATTGATTGATGTGTGTTATTAATACTACTGGGAAATGGGTGGAAAGCCGCATCGCATCAGTAACCGATCTGCCTATGTATATGTAATCAACTAACTACCTTACGGAGCATTCCCCGGAGCAGAGTAGTCCGACAGGGGAAAAAAATTATTTCTGTCTTGTCTCTTCTTGAATCCAGACCCAGCCAGGGTCGACACGCCTAAATTGGACATTTTCCTGACCGTCGGATAATTATCATTGGCTACGTCTTGCCCCCGTGGTTGGAGAGGTCGCTGTGGCTGTTTGATAATGCCTTGGTCATGATTCCTGTACTGCATGTACAGAGTACAGTACGGTGATATCGGGTATTGTAAGCTCGTGCTGCATTGGCTGCATCTAGTACTCCATCATAGTGTCAATCGTAAGAAGAAGAAGGGCAATCGATGGCAGGTCATGCTGCTGTCAACTCTTCAGTTCCTAAGAGATATTATATGAGTGACGTACTCGTACGAGATCTAGCTTCGTTCCCTGACGTAAGAACATCGCTGCCACGGGCTGCTCGAATCATCTCCACGATCATTCGTGTCTGACAGAAAACCTCAGGCAGTGGTGCATGCAGATGGATGAATCCTCTGCTCGATTATCCGCATGGGTGATTGATGACTGATGATTCACCCCACCGACAAGACATCATCCTGCCCCACCAAACCAGCCCGTCCCGCCACGGGGTTCTTTCTTCCTCCAGAAAAGCGTGCTTCTCCCTCTTCTTTTCTTTCCCTCTTCTCCCCTTCTTCTTTCTTTCTTCTCTTTCCTATCATTGATTGTTGCTGGAAAAAAAAAGAGAGGTCAACGGAGAAAGAAAGAACTTGGAAGGCCATCTTCTCCTCGACTCACGCTCTCTTTCTTGTTTCCACCGTCGATTCAGAAAGAGTCTTCCTGTGATTTGATTTTTGTATGTCAGAGATAATAATAACCCCGCGCCTGTGCCCCTCCTTACCTTTACCTTCCTTACCTTGCTTACTTACCTTCTTTACCCTTCCCAAACCAATTTCTTTTTTTTACCCCTACGCTCAGAGAAAAAATATAGCTAATTCTGCAAACAGAAGCTGCAATCATGGGTTACACCGAGCTCGATCAATTGGCCATCAACACGATCCGTGTTCTCGCGGTATGTACTCTTCTCTGCTGACCGTTTCTTGCGTTCTTTTTTCTGTTCTGGATAGAGGCGGAAATGTGCCTTTTTGGTCATTCCGCGCGAAGCTTCCTGGTGAGATCGCAGCGGAGCTATTGACGCCAGTTGCCAATGCAAGCAGTCCAGCAAGCGAGCGCTCATCTCACCGGATCTTCGATGAATAGCTGCTTTTTTTTTTCTGCCTCCCAGACTAACAATTCCGGCGTGACGCAGGTCGATGCCACATCCAAGGCCAACGCCGGTCATCCCGGTGCCCCTATGGGCCTGGCCCCGGTCGCCCACGTCCTCTTCAACAAGTTCATGAACTTCAACCCCAAGAACCCTGACTGGGTCAACCGGGATCGATTCGTCCTCTCGTGAGTTTCGCCCGAATACTGCTTCTCTACCTCTGGCCGATCCTATTGATATGGCGAATGTTGACGCCGGCGAATTAATCCGCTAACCCCGTCTCTTTCTATCAGGAACGGCCATGGCTGCATGCTCCAGTATGCTCTGCTGCACCTCTTCGGATACAATGTTTCCATTGAAGACCTGAAGAACTTCCGGGTATGTCTGTACTCTATTTGAGGATTCCAACACAATGCTAACTAACAACCCTCCAGCAAATCGGAAGTATCACCCCTGGACACCCGGAAGCTAAGGAAACTCCTGGTGTCGAGGTCACCACTGGCCCGTTGGGTCAGGGTTTCAGCAACGCCGTCGGTCTGGCCATTGCCCAGGCTCACACCGCCGCTGTGTTCAACAAGCCCGGCTATGAGCTGTTCAACAACTACACCTACACCATCTTCGGTGACGGTTGCGCCATGGAGGGTGTTGCCTGCGAGGCCGCCAGCATGGCTGGTCACCTGAAGCTGGGTAACCTCATTGCCATCTACGATGACAACCACATCTCCATTGGTGCGTGCACTGATTTCCGGGATATCGAGAACTTGGACTAACACACAATTAGATGGTGACACCAAGGTCGCTTTCACCGAGGATGTCCTGAAGCGCTTCGAGGCCTACGGCTGGCACACCCAGTGGGTCAAGGACGGTGACCACGATCTCCAAGCCATTGAGGACGCCATCCGCAAGGCGCAGGAGGTCAAGGACAAGCCCTCCATCATTAAGCTGACCACCACCATTGGTTACGGTTCCAAGCTCCAGGGCACCGCTGGCGTGCACGGCAACCCCCTGAAGGCCGACGACGCCCAGAGCGTCAAGCGGAAGTTCGGATTCAACCCCGACCAGAGCTTCGTGGTTCCCCAGGAGGTCTACGACCTCTATGGCAAGCGCGCTGCTGAGGGAGCTGCCAAAGAGCAGGAGTGGAACGCTCTGCTGGAGAAGTACGCCACTGAATACAAGGCCGAGTACGACGACCTCCTCCGTCGTCTGTCGGGCAAGCTGCCCGAGGGATGGGAGAAGAACCTCCCGACCTACAAGCCCACCGACGCCGCGGTCGCTTCCCGCAAGCTGTCCGAGACTGTCCTGGAGAAGATCCACGGCGTGATCCCTGAGCTGCTGTCCGGATCTGCCGACCTGACGGGCTCTAACAACACTCGCTGGAAGAACGCGGTCGACTTCCAGCCTCCCGAGTACGGAATCGGCGACTGGTCGGGCCGCTACCTCCGTTACGGTGTGCGTGAGCACGCCATGGGTGCCGTCATGAACGGTCTCGCTGCCTATGGCACCGTGATCCCCGCTGGAGGTACCTTCCTCAACTTCGTCTCGTACGCTGCCGGTGCTGTCCGTCTGTCGGCCCTGTCTCGCGTCCGGGTGATCTGGATCGCGACTCACGACTCCATCGGTCTGGGTGAGGACGGTCCTACCCACCAGCCGATCGAGACTCTGGTGCACTTCCGTGCCACGCCCAACCTGATGGTCTGGCGCCCGGCCGACGGCAACGAGACCAGCGCCGCCTACTACTCGGCCCTGACCGCGAAGAACACGCCCAGCATTCTCGCCCTGACCCGGCAGAACCTTCCTCAGCTGCAGAACTCGACGATCGAGGCCGCCCTGAAGGGAGGTTACGTCATTCTGGAGGCACCGGATGCCGCCATCACCATCGTGTCGACCGGATCCGAAGTCAGCCTCAGCATCGACGCTGCCAATTACCTGAAGGAGAAGCACGGCATCGTGGCCCGTGTCGTGTCCCTGCCGTGCTGGGAGGTGTTCGACGCGCAGGACAAGGCGTACCGTCTGCAGGTCATTCCGGACGGCATTCCCGTGCTGTCCGTCGAGGCAGCATCGACGATTGGTTGGGAGCGGTACTCTCACGAGCAATTCGGTCTGAACCGCTTCGGTGCTTCTGGCCCGTACAAGGAGTTGTACAAGGTAAGCCCACAAAACCCTTCCCCGCTAGAAAAACACAATTGCTAATATGATGTCTTGCAGAAATTCGAACTCACCCCAGAGGGCATCAGCAAGCGCGCCATCGCCACCATCGAGTACTACAAGGGCCAGAAGGTCCGCTCCCCGATCAACCGCGCTTTCGAGCAGGTTGTGTAGACGCTGTATTGTGCGTAGGTTAGGGAGGGAAATTTACATTAAACAAAAGAAAAATGAAAAGAAAGAAAATGAAAAGAATAATATAACGAGCAGGCTATGAGAACCTGACTGATATCGATGTCGGTGGTTACCTTTTTCTTTTTCTTTTTTTACTTTTTTTTTATTTTTTAATGAAATGGAATGGGATTCCTATAAAAACTTAAGCTTAGAAATGGGGTTTTTTTTTTCTTATGTCTGTCTGCCTATCTATTATTTTAGACCCTTGATTTTGCCTTTTTATTTTATTTTATTTTATATTTATTAGAAGTGTGGGAAAAGGAGTACTACTTACTATCTACTTACTACCTACGTAGCGTTAACGTATCGTAAAATGAATACTATAGTACCATAGTACCATATTACCTACCATGCTGTTCTTTGTGCAAAAAGGGGGTTTAGAAAAAAAAAGGTATTATTTATTGAGTTATACGATAGTGGCTTTATTCAACCTGATGAACAAAAAAAAAGGCTTCTATTTCTCAAAGTAAGGTATATGCATATATAGGTCTCGTCTCGTTTTATTTATATGTATACGCTGACTGCGGTTAGAACGCCCACTGTCTCAACCAATTCTCCATCAACGGCTGATCGACAGGCCCCAGCTTGCGCATCGTCGCGCTGCCTTCTTTCGTCTGCCGCTGCTCGATCGGCGATGACAGCCCGCCCTCTGTGTGGAGGAGTCCGCGGTAAAAGTCTAGCAGCTTGAGGGCCGGCTTGGCTGCGACTTCGTCCTCGGAAGGGTTTGTCGCGCTGAGCTGTTCCAGCTCGGAGACCCATGTCGACAGCGAGACGGGCTGCACGTGCGGGTAGTACCGCTGCACGGCGGGGATGAGTGATGCCCATGTCGTTGTTGATGGGTTGACCAGGTTGAAGGCCGTACTGCGTGTCGCGGACTGCGTCCCTCGTCGCGTCTCGATCAGCTCTAGGATGATGGTCGCCAGCTTGTCGACCGGGATCCAGTCTACCTTGATAGAGCCCAGGTCTGTTGGGATCCGCCCCGTCGCTTTCGACGTCGCGATGATCGTTGGCAGCCATTCCTGCCGGTTCCAGACGCCCTTCTCCAGCGTTGGTCCGCCGACCTGCCCGACTCGGAGGATGGTAGTCGGCACGCCCGCGAGCCGCGATGCCGCCAGGCAGATCCGCTCCGAGACGTGTTTGGACTCGCCGTATCCTTGCGGGAGCGTCACGTCCGGGTTCTCGACGGGGGCCTCGGGCACGGCAGGCCCGTGAGAGGGGTTCCAGGCGCCGATGGTCGCGACCGAGGAGACGAAGTGGATGTGCGCGTGGTGGGCGCTCTGCAGGCTGAAGTCGACAAAGCGGCGCACGCCGCGGATGTGCACGTCCTCGAACGTCGAGACGGCGTGGTTGAAGTCGACCTTCCAGGCGTTGTGGATGATGGTGTCCACGGATTGCAGCATCTCGTCGTATTTGCTGTCCTCTAGCCCGAATTTCTCGGCCCCGAACGACGCCTGCAGGAACTCGACTTTGGCCGCGCGGCGAGCGTCCCACGGCAAGCCCTTCTCCAGGAAGCTCTTCTGCTGCCTGGGTGCTGCGTCGGCGGAGCGGTTCAGGCAGTAGACTTTGGCAGTGGCGGGATCGTCCAGCAATGCGTTGAGGAGATAGCTCCCCAGAGAACCGGTCGAGCCGGTGAGAATGACGGTGTGTGCATCAGGAGGAGGGTTTAGCACATCCAGTTGCTGGACGGGGATGTCGGCGGTGTACTTCTTGACCAGCGACTCGATCTTTTCTGCTCTGGATTCTTCGTCCACAAACCCGTTTGCCTCGCCGCCGTTGATGACCTTGTTGACGAAGCGAGACAGCTGGTCGACTGTCGGGTTCGAGTAGATCCTCTGCGTCGTGATGGCTTCGCTGTTTTTGTCCGGATACCGCGCGCGGATGGCGCCCTGGAGGATCCTTGTGAGCTGAACGGTCTGCAGAGAGTCCAGACCGGCACCAAAGAAGTCCTCCTTCTCCCCAATTTCCGACCTGCCGAGGATGGACGAGACGACCTTCTGGACGTAGTTCTTGATCCCAGCGAGATCTGCCTGCTCGGGCAGCTGCTGGGAGGCAAGGTCTTCCTCACCGCTCTCCCTATAGATGGCCTCGATCTCTTCCGCATAGTCCCTGTAGACATGGTGCCGCTGGGTGGACCCTTTCGGCGTCGTCTTGAAGGGCTTGCTCTTACTGGCCACTCCAATCTTGGACTTGAGCACACGCCCGTGAGCCGGAGCGCCTTCATTCGCCTGCTGCACCACCGGCCATATCGCGTCTATGAGCTCGCTTACGGGCTTGTCTTCACTCCATTCATTCCAGTTGGGCTCCACCAGGAGGGCCGACTGGAACCGACCCTGACCGGTAATGACGGCACGGGAAACAAGGGGATGTCCTTCGATGATCTTCTCCATGGTCACCGGGTTGAACTTCTCTCCGTTGCTGAGGACAATGACATCGTCGATGCGCCCGTGGTATATCCACTTGTTCGGCTTGGTGGGATGCGGGATGAAGACGTCCTTGGTCCGGTATTCCTGCAGCTCGGGGAAGGTGTGGAAGATGCCCTGGAACTCTCGGGTCGGGGCCCTCTTGATCACCAACTCATACATGTTCTCCCCGACGAATTGCATATCCACTCCGAAGTACGGATTCCATTCGTAGTAACCCCAGTCCTCGGCCGACAATGGCTGCATGGTGGGGATGAGACCAACCTCGCTGGCACCAATGACAGTCAGCAAGGTGGTCACTTTGCAGAGCTTGTCTCCAATCTCCGGAGAGAGTGGCGCTCCCCCAAAGTTCACCTGGTTCAAGCGAGAGATACCGTCCAGTGCGCGATCCGAATGGCTCATTTCTTCCAGCAGAGAAGGCGGGAATACGGCAGCAGTTGGCTTCGCGGCATCGATCACATCAACGATCAAGTCGGGCGACAAGGGCTTGTCCGGCGGAGTAACGAATGGAATACTGTGGAACAGCGATTCCATAAGTGCCATGTACCCCATAACATGGAAAAAGGGAGTTGTTGACAAGACTAGATCCTGCGGTCCCAAAGTGTGCCAGTAAGAGGGACGACGACCAGGCGGATAGGGAAGATTGACAATACGATCAATAACACCAAAGTATCCATTGGTGAGATAGACCGGCTTTGGCAACCCTATACCCGGAAAAGTTGTCAGTATCTCGTCTCCGGTTTCAGCTCTCCGTGAGCCCTGACATACCTGTTGTGCCCGAGCTGTGAATTATGAGGGCCACATTGTCCTCTTCCTCTTCGTAAGTTTTCTCAAAAGGATATGGGGGAGCTTGACCCTCGATCATCTCCCACAGGGAAGGCATCTCAACGATCTGGAGATCCGGGCTGAGTTTCTTGATATCGAACACTCGGTGTTTCCGCTCAGAGCCGTAAATGAACTTCTGACAATCGGTGGCTTTCAAAAGGTGCAGAAAGGCTTCATCCGAGTTTCTTGTGGAGGGAAGAAAGGGCTGTATAGGTTAGTCATCTTCCTGATTAGAACTTGAGAGGAGACAACACACACCTTATAGCCGGTCTTGTTAGACGCAAGAGCGAATATCACATAGCGGATATCATTTGCTGCCATGTAGGACAGCGTTTCCGGCTTGGAAGGACGACCGAACGTCTTCTCAATCCACCAGGATGCGTAATTGACTGCCTGGGCCAGGTCCCTTATCTTGACCTCGCGGAAGCCATCTGACACTTCAGGCCCGTTGGGAATGAGAGCAAATTTCTGGTCTGGAGCTGTCTTTGCCAGATCATCAAGGACAGCGGCAGGCAGCCTCCTGCCGGCATTGCCCCTGTTTTCGTTCGCCATTTCGGTTTTGAATATGCAAAGATGGGTTTGTTTTTAGCTATGGAGGAAGAAAATGTTGACATCGTGGATACCCTTTATATAGGATTATATATATATAGGAGAAGGGGTCTTGATGGATCTTTTGTCTGGGCTTCCATCGCGATGTTTCCAAACCGCTCTCCGTCCCCGCCAACGCCCCCATTTCCTGCGGGGCGGGATCTGTTCAATAATAGCATTGATGGTGTACAGAAACGCGCACTGGCCGGCTCGCACGGGTCATGTCTGTTCACAGAGGGCTGCTCGGCATGACGAGGGATGCCGAAGATCCGATTGCAGCTATACAGAACGCTGTATTAGGACGCTGTGGCTGGCATCGTGTATATGCATGTTTCGATGAACACAGACAAGGATGTCAGCATTAGGGTCCTTTTCTGAGCCATCCCATTCGCCAGACTGGTATTTCGTCAGCATGACGGGATCGTTATCGAAAAGCTTAAAATCTTATTCTGGCGAGCGTCACAGACCTCTCTTCCTCGGTATGGAAAGATCAACGCAGCGGAGAGAGGCCACCTCGGCCTTGATAAGGGCCGAAGGTCAGGGCAGAGACGGATAAACGGCTTCCCACGCGGGAATTAGACGGGAATTATTGACGTCGAATCCAACGGTGAGGACAGTTGTGAAGAATTGACACGACGATGCTCCACAGGCTCGAATCCTGGGCCAACAGGTGCAGTTGTGCATGAAGATCACCGCCGTAGCGGGTGGGGCTCGCACCGTTGCACCAAAAATATGCATTCCCTTAGCTTGTCGGTCTTGCAAGAGTTCAACGCGGCTTCTAGAGCGTATCCGGTAATATCTCACGGCAGAGACATCGTTAATTGCGAACAGAGAACAGTACTGACGGCCACAATGCCTGATGACAGCGGGCTATGGAGGAGGAGACTGCGATGATAAGCTCTGGTGCCTGTCGGCTGCCACCGCGGGCCGCCTTCCGGGTCTTCGGCACGCCACGCTTCTAACGACGCCTCAGCGTCGGGATTCCGACATTTCTTGCCAGAAATACTCCGTCCGTCAGCATGGAGACACATGGAAGGGTTGGAAGCCAAGTCGGAAATCCCGAAGACGAGTGCCACATGAAACCCAGGTGGAGTCGACCATCTTGACCGTCTTACGCCTTTCAAGCCACAAACAACAAACAGGTCGCAACGACAGTAATCATCATTTTTCGGTTCCTGCCTTTTTTTATACACCGATACTAGAACGCCGGAAGACATGTCAAGTGATATCCCATGACCGCGTGCCCCTTGGGGGCCCTTCCCCAAACACAAAAACTGCCATGCCGGACTTGAAAAAGAAACCGAAAGAAAAAAAAAAAGGCAAACCAAATGGGAAAATATACAGCAAACATTAGACAAAAATCATCTCCGCAGGCGCAACATTGCAATTCAGATCCTGACCTTTTGCGACTCCTTCTCGACGATCTTCACCAGCTCCGAATATACCTTGCTGAAGTCTTCCTGATCTTCGCCATTGGCAGCCTCTCCTTCCTTCTTCTTGCCTTTCCCAGTCTTCGTGACCATCACCACACTGGTCGGCCGTTTCGTGGCGCCAGCCGCACCCAGCTCCGCGCGAGACGTGACGAAGACGTAGGGAATACCATGATCTTCGCAGAGTACGGGGATGTGGGAGATGACGTCCATGGGAGAGATGTCTGCGGCAAGAACCACGATGCCTGGAGGTTCTGGAACGGCGACGTTTGCTTGAGGGATAGGGGACTTGCGAAGGGCCTTGACGACTTCTTTCACACCCCGTTTCAGAGACTTGTTCGCAGCGGCTGAAGATGACAGTCAGTCAGCAGTTGCGCCAAAGATTTTAGGATATCTCTAAGTAGAAAAATTTTTTTTACCTTTCTTCACGCTCTTCAACACCTTCTTCGCAGTCTTGTCTTCGACCAGTGGGTGTGCAAATGGAACAAGAGCGCCAACTGGCCGAGGCTCCGCCGGCTTGGACTCCTTCTCCTCAGTGTGTCCATTGGCAGTCGCTTCTTGAGCCTGTGCCTTCTCTAATCCCTCCAACACTTGTGTCGTAAGCTCCTTTTCGACGGCATCAGCCAGGGCGCTGGAATGCTTCTTCTCCTTCTTGTCTTTCTTGTGCTTGTGGACGCCGTCGGTCTCCGAGCGCTTCTTTTCCTTCTTCTCCTTCTTCTTCTCCTTGTCGCTCTTGTCCTTTGCCATGGTGGATTATGCTATCTCTGAATGCTCCCCCGGAGACGCCGACAGAGACAGAGAAAATAATTGGGGGACAGTAGCGACGGAGAGATGTGTAGACAGCAAGTGGTGGAGATCGAAGAGTCGGTCCAAGAGCTCGAAATTTTGAAGATTTGCGGTGCTCCGCGCGGGCTCGCCTTGTAGAAATTTTGGCACTAATCCTGTTCGGGCTACAAGCTCTCTGCAGGTGACTGCATTGCTTAGTCAGCGTCCCATGCCTGCAAACCCGCGCCGCAAAACAAAGCAGCGAATGCTTCGCTTGATGGCCGGCTGTTGTTCGCTGCGTTCATTGAACCGTTCTATTGTCTAGAGAAAGACCCCTGGTGCCTGTCAGAGTATTTAGCTCCGCGTCTGGAGCTCAAGGGTGTCGCCTTCGGCCGCCAGGATACATGTACTCCGAGTCTTCGAGGATACCTAGCTTGCACCGTGAGCATCACCTTGCTATTGCTTGAGCTCCGATACAGAACACAAAGACACTGACAGGTCCAAGATGAGTTCGCAGAGACTCGCCAACACTCAGCCCACCTATGACTTCCTCGCAGGCGGATCGCCCTCGTCTCCTTCGGCGTCATCGACCCAGCATCCGTTGCGACAGTCTCTCCGTCCGTCTCAACCGTCCAAGACGGGTAAGATGCGACTCCCACACGAATAGAAGAGAATTGGAGCTTACTTGGCTGTCTAGAAGCGGAAAATCACGAACTACGCGTGCAACTGAATACCTTGAAATATGAATTGGAGAATCTCAAGCAGGAGCGAGATCTCATGGCACTACGCCATGAGAAAGAGCTTAGGGACTTGCAAATGAAAGCCGACGCGGACTTTAGAAAGGCTCAGGTGGGTGATTACATGCTTTATTGGATGTTTTGACTTTTAAATACTAAACTCGGTGTGATATGGCAGGGCGCCGAAGCTGCCAGCAATCGAGCCAACCACAAAAGCGAAGCGCTTGCCAAGGAACTGAAAGAGGCTCAAGAGTCCGCACTCAGCGAAAAGGCTAGCTTAGAGAGAAAGATCAGGACATTGCAAGATCAGAATCAATCGTTGCAGGAAGAGGTCAACGACGCCCAGGCGCAGTTATCTGACCAAGAGAGACAATACAAGTATCAAATCAATGAGCTGGAAACCATCCGCTCGTCGTTGCAGAAGACGCTGGAAGATCTGCAAAGAGATCTCCAAAGTGCACGGGACAATTTAAATGCTGTGCAAGAGCGGTTGTCGCAGCGTGAAGCGGAAGTCGCCAGCCTCGAGGCAGAAAACTTGCGCCTGAGAGCAGAAGGAGGTGATTCCGAGACGCTGGCCGTCCTGAAAAGAGAACTGTCGGAGCAGGTGAACCACATCAGGAACTTAGAGACAACAAACCGCGAGCAGCTGGCAGAGTTGCGCCACCTGCGGAAAGTTCAAAGGAACGTGGATGTTGTCGAGGAGCAAAAGAGATCGCTCGAGAATAAATTAAACCTGATGAAAGATCTGGAAGCCGAGCTTGCGAACGTGCAGATCCAGAAACAGATGCTTGAGGATGAGAGGCGATCATGGACGAGTCTTCTGCAAGCAGATGGCCTGGCAGCTGAACTCGATTCCCCAGAAGCGGTTGTGAAGGCATTAGTTCAAGAGCGAATGGAGAAAATCACGCTTCTTGATAAGCTTGGCAGTATCGAGCCTCGGGTGCTTGAGAAGGAGGAAATCATAAAGGACCTTGAAATGGAGAAGAATCAGTTGAAGCAAGAGGTCGAGAAGTTGCGCAGTGCCAGTTCTACTGCAGGAGGAACCGCAGAGAGCCGGGCAAGGCTCAGACTGGAGCGTCAACGAACCCTTGCAATCAAGGAGGTGGAATATCTCCGTGCCCAGCTTAAGACTTACGATACCGAGGAGATGACGATGAATGCGGATGAAAGTCGATATGATGAGCAAAAGTCCAAGCAGATCGCGCAGCTTGAGCAGCTCATCGACGAGTACCGTGCAGAGCTACAGAAGGCGCATGACGAGCTGTCGAGCCGGGAGATGCAGCAGGACGAGTCACAGCCACGAGGTGTCAAGCGACCTCTTTCACCAGCCGACAGTGATGCGGAACCTGAGCGGATCGCGGTTCTCTCGCGCAAGAACCGAACACTTCAGGACGCACTGTCAAAATCGGAGCAGAATGTAGCCCTTTTGAAACATGAGCTGGAAGCGACCAAGTCGCACCTCCATGAACTGCAAGAGCAGTCGCGTGTCCGCATTCTCGAACTGCGGTCAAACCCGACAGCCGAGGCCGAGAATCTCAAGTTATCCACCATTAGAGCTCTGAAGGCGGAAAACCGCGACCTCCTTGCTCAGTTGCGAGGTGAACACCAGAACGTCAAGGTGGTCCCAGTCAGCACCCTGGAGAGCATGAAGCTCGAGCTGCAGGAGCTGGAACGAACAGTCGCCGAGAAAGAGAAACGCATGCGTCGCCTGAAGGAGATCTGGACAGCCAAGTCGTCCGAATTCCGCGAAGCCGTGGCGTCGGTGCTGGGATACAAGCTGGACTTCCTGCCCAACGGCCGGGTGCGCGTCACGTCCATGTTCCACCTCTCGCCGGCGTACCGACACGGCAACCGGAACGCGCCGGCCGACGCCAGAGGGCCGGGCAGCATGGGCAACGGCGAGGAGAACTCGATCATCTTCGACGGCGAGAACGGCACGATGAAGATCTCGGGCGGGCCCAACAGCCTGTTCGCGATGGAGATCAAGCATCTGATCAAGTTCTGGGTCGAGGAGCGCAAGGACATTCCTTGCTTCCTGGCTGCCATGACGCTCGAGTTTTACGACAAGACGACCCGTGCTGCGAGGGTGTAATAAACACAAGTCAGTCATCCACCCAATCTCCATCCCTATCGTTCCTCGATTCGGTTTCTATGTTGTTTCATTTTTTTTATCATTTGTGTCAGTCCAAGGGGAAATGCAACCTGGAAGATGAGAACGAGTCTTTATAATTAATGGATACCCGTGTAGTTAGCTAGCTGGCCGGCTATTACATTAGTTATGTATGGTCCATGCATGTGTGTATGTATGTAACTATGTATGTATGCAATTAACTATGTACGTACCTAATCCTATGTTACAGCAGAGAGAAACAAAAGAAAGAAAGAAAGAGGAGTGGATTCTTTTCTTTCTTCTTTCTTCTTTCCCTCCCCCCGATTATTATTATTGACTTGACGATATGTAATGTGCTGTACATACGTACTCCAGTTACTACCTACCTATTAATGAAATAAATAAATGCATGCCATGAGTATATCTGATAACATACACACAAACTCACTTTATCATTGTCATCAGTGAACAATTACATAAATGAGTGTTCACTTTTCACTGACTGATGTAACCAATTAACTAATTAATTAACTAATTAAACTGCTACCAAGTTTTTTATATTGCCTACCTAGGCACCTACCTACCTACCCTGTCACATTACATTACCTACTCCGTACTCATACACTCTCTGCAATCGATCAATCGATCCGGTCCAGTCCGGTCGGGTCGGTGGTGGTCTGTCTCTTCCTTGCCTTGCCTTGCATTGCTTCTTCTATATACAGTATAATCGGTACAAGAAGGAATAGAAATAGAAATAGAATAACATAGATAGAGGGGACAATAATAACAATAGTAACAATAAAAAGAGGGAAAGGGGGATATAA